TGAAATGAAGCACTCATTATAATGGTTTGGCAACCATTATAAGTGACAGGAGTCCCACAGCCAAATCCCCAGGAACCACGGTGAAAATTAGGCCCCAGTCTTCATGGGGAAACAGAGGTGTTTTTAAAAACACTCTGGTGTTTCTTTGTTTGGGGGGGCCAGGAAGAGGGCAAAACATGTAACATTTTCTTATGGTGTTTAACTTTTGAGTTGTTTCATGTGATGGATGTCAGCCCACCGCTGCTGTTTTATAACAGGACCGGTGCCGTAGTTATGGACAAAGCTAAGAGGGCATTTGGGGGGACAGCCATGCAGGGGGACATTTCATGCCTGGAGATGCTACTGAGGGTACCGCAATCTAGAAATACAACTCCATATCCTCTATGAAGATGTGCTATTTTATATATTTTTCCCCCGATGTGAAAGAAGTGTGGAAATGCACTTCATTAATTTAATACAGGCCTCACCCACATGGTCATTTATGTTTTCTGTTCACAGAACATGGCATGACCAGCAGACAGTCCTTAATGCACAATATGGCCATGTACATTGTAGCAAAAATTTGGTTAATGATGGACCACATACATAATGATTGTCCCAAAAGCAATATGAGGGCCAGGGATTAAGCTCAATGGTTCTGTAGCCTGCTTTCCAAGCAAAAGGTCCCGAGTTTGATCCCCAGTATCAAAAAACAAAACAAAACAAAAGACAATCTGAGCTAGTGATATTGTAGCCATCTGAGTTTATGTAAAGACTATGACATTCATATGACAAAACTGCCTGATGATGCATTATCACAATGAATCAATCCTATTACTGCATGATGCATGACTAACTTCATTTATCCTGGTGGGAATAAAAGGCAAGGTACAAGATAAGTGAAAGCTCAATATCCAGTCACCCTCTCCGATGCTGAATTTCTGAAGAACTTTCTCTGCCAGTAGAAATGATATGTCAGGGGTACACATGCCACAAGATGAAATTATTTTACTCAAAGACAGGTAATTTAAGCCAATTATATTAAAATGATGATAGTAAAACAAACGCTAATATCTTGTAGAATGGAATTCCAAATTTGCATGAATTTTTAAAATACCATGATGGGCAGGCAGCCTTTGGCTTCTGCCTACAGAAGAGCTCACTGTTTTCCCCTCAGGGCCAGGTGGGTAGAATTCTGGAAGATGCCCCTGGAGTGAAGGCTGTGGTGGGCTCTAAGCGAGACACTCTCGCTCAGACTCCCTCACCAGACCAGGTTCATTTGTCTCCTTTAGAGGCCATTGCTACATCTTTGATGTAATCTTCTCCACCCCACCCCCAGTCAGCATTAATTTCTCCCTCCTCCGTAACTCCTTTAGCACTGTCTGAACATTTATCATAGTATTTACCACCATCTGCCTTGTATCTGAATGAGTTATGTGCCGCTGACCACCCCCACCAGTGTGTTTCTGGGAGGCCGGACTCCAGTCCTGTTCAATTTAGCATCCCCACTCCCAGTCCCAGAGCCAGAGCCAAGCACACTGTCGGGCCGGGGAGATGTGATGTGTGTGGATGAACCAAGTGCATGCGCATATGTATACATGAGTGAGTGAATAGAGTGGATGACAGACAACAAGTGCTTTATGAATCAAGGAGAGGGGGAGCCATCCTGCACTCAAGCATTGAAAGCAGAATTCTCTGTAGCTATAGGGTTTCCACCACTAAAAGATCAATGGGATTTAGGTAAAGGCTGACAATATCTGTTGAACTTAATTGTATACAACACGTGGAAGATATAACTGGTTCCATTTGAGTTCATGTTTTACCCAGTGACCTAGACCTAGGCCTTTCTCAATATCCTGGAACCTTTGATAAGTATTGATTAAATTGCACTGAATTGAATTGAAATTAGTTGATTTTCATCACATTGCTCATTACTCCCACGATGGGCTCGTCATCCCAATCCCAAACAGCTCTGAGTTCAGCAGTTTCCTGTGGGTGGAGGACTGCTGTCTGAACCCAGAACTGGCCAATGAGATGTGCACCAGAGTTACTTTATTCCTCTGCGGGGTGGCAGCTATTCCAAGACTTTTTCCTGAGCACATCTGGAACTACATGTTCAGGCTTCCCCTGTAGTTAGGTGCAGGACATATGATTAAGTTCTGCTCCATGGACTGCGAGCAGAAGTCCCTGTGCCACTTCCAGGGCTGATCCATAAAAACTCCTGAATGGAGCCCTGAATTCCCTTTCCCTTTCTGTGACTTGACCCAAGGGGCATAGATACTTTGGAAGCTGAGGGATGATGATGGCAGAGCCAAGATGGGAGGAGCCTAGACCCCTGGGCTCCAATTTAGTCTATATTCAGAGGGCTAGGAACTCAGCTCAGTGGCACCACATCTGCCTGGCAAGCGCAAGGTCCTGAGTTCGATCCCCAGTACCAAAAAAGAAAGAAAGAAAGAAAGAATATAGTCTCTATTGAGTTCTGTGTCTTACCACATAGGTCCTGAGTGAGCTCAGAAAAATTACTTCAAGTCTGTGGGTTGCAAAGTCTTCATCTGTAAGCTAGGGCATTAACAGTAATCACCTCACTAGAGGCACTAGAAGGATGCACAACATATGCTTAGCCCACAATAAAAAGACCTGAAAGCCAGACATCATGTGTTTGCTTATAGTGCCAGCTCTGGGAGTCCAGGATGGAATGATCACTGGAGCCCAAGTGTTCAAGATCAACCTGGGCAAAACAGCGAGTCCCTTCCCCAAAATCAAAACAGATACCAAGAGACTTGAGAGATTATTTGGTATTTAGTATTAATGTTGCATATTCTTTCCACCCTCCCTCTACCACCTTTCTGGGTGCCTTATTACAAATATGTAGGATGAGAACCTTGTGATAGATTAATTTTCAATCTCTTTTAAAGAATGAAGTGTGATTTGTGATTCTTGGCTTCTGCTTGTAGCTGAGCATAACTGTTTGTGACCCCGTTCTCCCAGGCTGGTCCCTTTTATTCAGTGGAGAATGAGGCAAGCAGGCTGGGTGGGCAGAGGGTGGTGTTAATTTTCACCTCGTAGCATGACGTGTTTATTAGTGTGTACGTACGTTAAGCGCGGCAGCCTGGTTTCCTTGAGTTAAATAGCAGTCATGCCCAACTGGCTCTCCATGTACCATTACTCCAAGTGATTGAGCCAATTTCTCCCCCTGCCATGAGTTTAAGTTGTAAACCTCTCAGCCAGACAGAGAGGCAATGATGGGCTGCCTGTTGTGATTATTATTAACCTTTAGCATTACACTCTCAGGACCAAGGGGTTTGCAGAGAAGCTGCCAGCTCCTTGCTCCTGTCCACCCACTTTGACTCATCTCATCTGCATCTCTTCTGGATAAGAAAGGCCAGCAGGTGAATGTGTACTCTGGCCTTGCAAAGAAGTTCCAGCCTATTAGTCTGCAGTAAAAGATGGAGAAATGTGCAGATCCTCAGTTCTAATTGACAGGGGAGAAGAAGGGCCATTATGAGAAAGCTAGAAAAGAGATCTTTTCTGGATGCCTCGATGTTCAGAAATTATTTACCAGCTATAATTTCTTCCCTTTGCCATTGTTTAGTAGCCAGATGCTAAGTTATCCTGCTGAATCTTGCAGGGACAATGGCCACCTCCTTGGCATTATCAAGTTCAACAGGACTGCATATATATATTCCACCAATACACTGGCAGCAAGGAGTCACCAAGGGTTGCAGAGACAGAAGAAAATATTAAGTGAGCCCTCTACCTGTCTCAGATCCAAAGGTCTTGTTGCTGCCTCTCTTCAAGCCTTTCTTTTTCTTTTCTTTCCTCCTCTCCCTTGCTCCCTGTTTCTTTCCTTAAAAAAAAAATCAACCTTTTTCCTTATAGAGTGATCGTGATTTGGCAGAGATGACAGTTTCCCAAATGTGGCAACTTATTTTGATTTTCTGAACAATTTGATCTCTGCAAAAATCTCTGAGAAGAGAAGGGGCTACCTCCAGTCCTAAAGTGCTTGTATTGCTTCTTTGTTAAAAATCCAAGGAGACCTGCAGTCTGGCCCTGGTTGAAGTTTGCCCTCAGGAAGTTTATAGTCTAATAAACAAGCTGGAGGCAGGAAAGAAAGGTGGTAGGAGGTTTAGTGTCCTTGTTTCTTTGTTTCCCTAAAGAACAGTGAGTGAGGGTGGGGTAAGGCACCTTAGGGGACATATCCCACACAGGAAGTAAGTAAGACAGCATTCAGGGTAATGATAACTGAAGAAGTCAGAATCTGGTTCTGCAACTCCTATGGTCTTGCTAAACTCCCCATGGTCTTAGGAGAGCTTCTGCAAACAGGATGATAAACTGTAGTTTATGTAGAATAAATATCTACTTGATAGGTTTAAACAAATGTAAGCCATGTCTTCAATTTATTTTTGCCATGACATGTATTGAATTCTGCTTACAAAGAAATAACCTCAGCTAAGGTACACTGAGGACTTAACTTGGAAAAAAATCAATTTTTCCTTATAGAGTGATCGTGATTTGGCAGAGATGACAGTTTCCCAAATGTGGCAACTTATTTTGATTTTCTGAACAATTTGATCTCTGCAAAAATCTCTGAGAAGAGAAGGGGCTACCTCCAGTCCTAAAGTGCTTGTATTGCTTCTTTGTTAAAAATCCAAGGAGACCTGCAGTCTGGCCCTGGTTGAAGTTTGCCCTCAGGAAGTTTATAGTCTAATAAACAAGCTGGAGGCAGGAAAGAAAGGTGGTAGGAGGTTTAGTGTCCTTGTTTCTTTGTTTCCCTAAAGAACAGTGAGTGAGGGTGGGGTAAGGCACCTTAGGGGACATATCCCACACAGGAAGTAAGTAAGACAGCATTCAGGGTAATGATAACTGAAGAAGTCAGAATCTGGTTCTGCAACTCCTATGGTCTTGCTAAACTCCCCATGGTCTTAGGAGAGCTTCTGCAAACAGGATGATAAACTGTAGTTTATGTAGAATAAATATCTACTTGATAGGTTTAAACAAATGTAAGCCATGTCTTCAATTTATTTTTGCCATGACATGTATTGAATTCTGCTTACAAAGAAATAACCTCAGCTAAGGTACACTGAGGACTTAACTTGGCACAGCCCTGCCTCTGGACACCCATCATGTCCTTCACTCTTCCAGCGGATCCCACAACATGGTATTGCTGCTTCCACTTGACAGCTGAAGAAACTGAGGCCACATACCTTGGGAAGAGAAGGAAATGAGATGAAGCCAACTTTGTTTGAAGGGGGAAGGAAAATGTAAAAATGGAATTAAAGAGATGAAGCCAACTTTAAAACTTCTGAATTTTTCAGATCTGATCTGGAGGAAGGCTCTGTTTCTTGGGAATTGAATACCAGGACCCCCTCCAGCCTCCCTGAGAGCAAGAGCACAGTTCTATAACAACCTTTCACTAAGATCTGAGTTTATTCACAGTTCCTGTACATGAAGAGGAAAAGATAACTTCCCAACCTAACTGAGGGGGAAGCAGTGGAAGAAAAATTGGATAGTAGTTTTTTTGTTGTTTTTTTTTTTTGTTTTGTTTTGTTTTGTTTTTTTTTGTACCGGGGATCAAAATCGGGCTTTTGCACTTGCGAGGCAGGGGCCGGAACCACTGAGCTAAATCCCCAGCCCTAGACAGTAGCTTTGCCAAAGGACACCCTTTGTACTGACAGAAAGATGTCAGTGGTACTAATCTACAATTACAGGAGCACAGAGAGGTGAGCCCAGATCCTGGAAAGAAAGAAAAACACTACCTCCCCTGAAAAAAAAATCCAAACCAAAGGAGATGGTAGATACTTTTTCCTTTCATACTGTGTGTCCAGTAGGTTGAGGGGAGAAAATAAAGCAGTGGATCAATATGGAAAATGGACAAGCTGGTAAAGCTCCTCCTCTTACTTCTCAGTGAGGCCCCACCAATCACTGGTCCCCACTCCCATACATTAGGAACAATTAGAAGGTAAGGGGGTTACTTTTCCAGGGACACACACAGCTTGCCTTCTTCAAATGCCTGACAGGGTCGGGAATTTAGCTCAGTGGCTCTGCCACCTGCCTTGCAAGTGCAAGGTCCTGAGTTCAATCCTCCATACCAAAAAAACAAAAAACCTGACAGACTCTTAAAACTGAAGGGGACTTCAAAGGTTCTGTAGTTCAATGCCACCATTTTACAAGAGAAGCTGAGTAGAGAAGCGCTACATGTTCCCAAAGCCACGTAGCCTGTCAGAGCCAGGAATTGGGACCAGAGCCTGTTGGGGCATAATGGGGATGTCAGTGAAGCCACTCAATCATTCTTAAAAGCCTTTCGAAAGTACTTTCCAAGTACTTAGCATTAATTTTTGGAGGTCTTTTAGACATGGTATACAGGCATTCCTCCTTTAACACCCAAGTTATGTTCCTGCAACTAGGTTGTTAAACGAACTGGTTCCTAAATGAGGAATTGGATGTATTATGTACATTACAATATTCAGGACAAAGAAATGATCAAAGGAAATGCCAACTTGATGACTGCTTTTATTTGCATAAGTCTGTTTCTTGGGAATTGAATACCAGGAACATGCAGTGCTGGAACGTATAACAGAACATAAAATGACAGAACTGTGTTATACAATACAGTCAGCAAAAATTATAGTACTGTATAAACAAGATCTACTGTATGAAAAGACATTGAGGCTCTATAAACAAGATGTATAGGACTATACAAAAAAAGATGAGCTGTAAGTCCCCGCAGACTGTACAATACTATAATTTTCGCCGACTGTACTGCACAGTACTACTGTCATTTTATGTTGTTATACATTACAGTTCTGCACGAAAGAGTTATGCAAATAAAAGTAAAGTCATCGAGTTGGAGTTTCCTTTGACCATTTCTTTGTTCTGAGTGCTGTAATGAACATCCTATACAGAGTTCCTCTTTTAGTGTCTCGTTCAGCTAACGACCTACTCGCAGGAATGTATAAATTTGAAATGTCTGTATTTTGCACATAGAGGGAAGATTTGATTTTCAAAATAACTAGCTCAGAAGGTGATGAAACTAGGTAAGAAAATTTTTGAGGTTATAAACAAATGGAATGGAATACCAATGTGGTGGCCAAAAATTTCCTATGGCTCAGAACCAAGCAATAATAGCAACAGAGTTGTAAAAAGTATCATCTTTCTCAGTGGGAATAGTAGAAGCAGGAAATATACATTTGGAGGTATATATTATCTCTACCTCTATCTAAATTTCTATGTATTTATATACAAATGTATGTATATATGTCAGTGACTATATATATCACATATATATCACTATATACATATCGCATATATAGTCACTCTGACATATTAGTTTAAAATTGATTCTGGTGATTGATGGTTATGATTTCTACATGCAGAATACATGAATGTGCTCCTTCAGGGGCTAAAGGTTGTGACAATTCTATAGAGAAGTAATGTGTCAGGCCACAACTTGGTCTTTGGAATCATACTAATGTGGGTCTCTAACCCAGATCTGTCATTTCATGGCTATATTATGTGTAGCAGATTTCTTAACTTAAGCCTCAGTTTCCTTAAATATACAATGAAGATACGTAAGGTCTCTGTAATTTTAGCCAATTTGTCTCTTGACTGGGGTCTGTCTTACTACCAGATCTGGCTCTTTCTTGGAAACATTCTACCTGCAGATTATGTATATATATATATATATATATATGGATTTCAGTTAAAAAGAATCTTCTCCCACTCCCTTACTCATATCAAAAAATAAAATGCCAAAAATATTACCTGGAAGAGGAATTTGGCGAAAAGCAGGAAAGATCATAAATTGACTACAATCTACTAAAAGACCTGGATTTCTCTGGTTTATTGAAATTCTTTCTGTGGGAGCTGTCAGTCATTGGAGATCGTCTTTTAGGGAAAGCATTTGAATCAAAATACCAATGTGTGACTGTCTAGAGCTCTTTCTGAAGAAAAACTTGATATCCAGTCTTTTTTTTTTATTCATTAAGTTGGTACATTTTAGGTATATAGTGTGATGACATTCATCATTGGGAATTTGTACCCTTACATGATGTATCTTGGTTCTTATTTTTTCCCCATTTCCCTGCCCTTCCTTCAACACCTCCACCCCTCCCTATTTACAAAAGCTTTGTTTCCATGTTTTCCACTTTTTTGGAACACTTCACAAATTTGCGTGTCATCCTTGCTCAGGGGCCACACTAATCTTCTCTGTTTCCTTCCAATTTTAGTAAATGTGCTGCTGAAGTGAGCACTTAATATCCAATCCTTCCAGAGGGTTTTTCTTCTGTGGAGCTTAGAATCTGGTACCTTCAGCAGGAAAAAAAAATGAATTATGGGAAGATAGTGATTATTTTTCTCTCCCCACATCTTTAGAATGTTCTGGAATGTTTACGGACTGATTGCCCATTAGGTATGGAGAGAATATGGAACACTGACATACACATTAGATTTCTATTCAGAAGACCTAAATAAATGTAAGGCAAGCTCTGTCAAATATTTCCTTGTAAGCCTGGGCAAGGACTTTCTGTGCTTGATCACATTGTCCCTCTTGGGAGCCCCCAGCTGTGGATAATGTGAAGATGTTGAACTGGTTTTATCACTAAGCTGCTTGCCCTATGCCATTCTGTAATACTTTGTGAACTCCCAGATAGGGAGAAGGTCTAATGTTGGTGGGTTTCAAGGGCAAAGGTCTCTCTATCATGGTTTTGGCCCACATCATGAAGGAACTCAGGTCCTAAGAAGCAGGCAGAACAGAGAAGACAGCAAGAGCAGGCTGACAAGGCCAGGAAATGGCCAGGTGCTTCTGTCAGTAATGGCTCTGTGGTTCTAGAAAGGAAAGGAAGATAGATATTCTTAGGGGGGGGTGAATAATTAGATATAGATTTCCTACTTTGCATCAAACCTAGAAACACTTTTGTTCCTCTGTGTTCAGAAATCCTACTTAAAATACCACATGCCTGACTCAAGTAGTTTGAATACTATGGGTTGGTCATTCCACCTAGTTGCACTTAGGGCCTTTGCACCTCATTCCCCTGACTGCAGATCTCTCCCTCCAGCACACAAAACTGAACTGTTTCCACTGACCCTTATCCTCAAGATCTCAGCTCAAACAGCATTTCAGCCGGTGAGATCCTCCCACACCTGCCCTATCTGGGATTGCCTCCTCCACACCCCAGCCCCCAGGCCCTCTGCTCTGCTCCTCTACCCGGCTCTTGTTACTCCTGGAAATTGTTTCCCCTGTTTATAGGCCCGCTTGTTTACTTCCTGGCTAGCCTCCCTGGAGCCTCCTGGAACTCCCTCCAGTTCCGCTAAACCAGATGAGGGCAGAGGGCTGGTTTCTGGCTCACTCTGTGTACCCCACGCAGCAGTGCAATACTGGACATATAGTGGGTGCATAATAAATATCTGTACAAACAGAGAAAGAATAAAATGAAACTGTGCTTCTTTCTTTTTTCTCTCCCAAAGACTTTTAAAGAAACAGGCAGCATGTTCCAGAGAATGTAAATTCAAGCCCAAATAATTAACAGCCAGGGGAGTGAAAGGAAAGGGTCCTCCTACAGGTGATAAGGTAGCCATGCAGCTTGCACATGGCAGTCACTTGGTACTACTTCCAACCGAAACATCCTCCAGCGTCACTATGTCCCTGAACTCCCTTGGCATCCCAGCCACGGAGAAGGCAAAGTGAGGTGCAAAGACTGAGACTTACACAGTACTTTCACATATCAATGTGCCATTGTAACATTTCATTCATTCATTCATTCTTTAATTTTATTGTGGTGCTGGAAATTGAACCTAGAGCTACATCCTCAATCCCCTTTTTGTATTTTTTAATTTTAAGACAAGTCTTGCTAAGTCTTTTAAGTTGCCCAAACTGGGCTTGAATGTGGCAATCCTCCTGCTTCAGCCTTCTAGAGTGCTGGGATTATGGACATGTGTCACTATACGCAGCTTAGCATTTTATAAATAAGGAAACCCAAGTTCATAAGGCTATAGAGCTTGACTGAGATCATAAAATATTCCACTGGGACTTGGATCCCAGCTGCCCCAAGGCTGGTCAGAGTTCTTCCTTTGGCAGTTAAGCATTGTACAAATGAACGCAGGCCTGCTGGCTCCCCATGCCTGCCCTTCCCTCCAGGGAGGCCACAACTGCTCCCCCACCACCACCCTGAGCAGGTAGTAACAGCATCAGCAGGGCCAGGACGTGAGTGAGGTGACTGAAGCAGCTCAGGGGCAGAAATGAAGTGATGTCACTCTCAGGCATTAGTGCGGTTCTAAGAGTGATGCCTCTCTACATTTTGTAACATATGCACCATGCTGGCCTCAGGTTGCCCTGGCCCCCTGCTCCTTGGAGCTCCTTAGAAGTTTCCTGTCCTCTGCTTTCATGTCATCTGATACTTCTTTGTCTAGAAATAGACTGAAAAAATTAGAGGCAGAATTGAGATTGGAGGAGGATTTGGCCAACTTGGCCAACTTGCTTCTGGCCACCTCTTGGCAAGCTGTCCTCCAATGGCCACTGGAATTGTTTTTCTAAAGGATGGATCTGTTGCTCCCCTTACTGAAAACCCTTCGCTGGCTCTTTCTATGGCCTACCTGCAGCTGCATGGCGAGGCCTGTAAGACCTTTATACTCGGGCACCATATTTATGCCCAGTCAACCCCCAAGGGCATTTCTCCTTTAAAGCCTAATTCCAAGGTTACCCATGCCCAGCACACTGCCTCATCATCAAGGGATATCTGAGTAGAGAGATGGAAGGACAAGAGAAGTTTCAAATGAGAAGGGAAAGGCACTGAGATGTTTGGTAGCCAGTCCAACCAGATCTTGGTTGGTAAATGTGATGGGAAGGATAAGGAAGAATAAATATAAATCCTTTTTTATATATACATGAGCCTTCAAGAGTCTGGAAGATGCCAGATCTGGTTAAGGCTCCGGTGACCTGCTCATGTCCCTCCCTTTGGTTTTCTCTTTGCACTGTCTCAGAATTTGAAGCAAATTAGACATAAAACCAGATCAACAGCTGTGGCAGAGGGGAAGCAGGATCTAGGAGGTGAGCTGTAGGCATAGAGTTGAGGTCCTAACAGACCAGCTGGTCAGGACCTCCCAGGGGTGCTTCCCTGTGCCCCTTGCACAAAAGAGGGGCCAGGGAAGCTGTCCTCAGTACTCAGCCAAGCAATGTTAACTTTATGACCCCGCTAGCAGTGAAGCAGCCTTTGAACTAGCTTATTTATATTTTTCTGTGACAACACAGTTCCTTGTTGTTGGTTGTGAATGAAGCCAGCTTCCCAAGGACCCTGGAACCTCCTAATCCACCTGGAGCCCGTTTTTAGACTTTGTCCTGTGGCATTCAGGCCAAGCTGCCAGGGTCAGTGTGTGGAACTGGTTTGCAGCATTAATGTATGGGCTTTACAGAGCCCAGCTTCAAGTGGTGCATGCCCTTTCCACCTTTTGTCTACACTACCATCTCTTTTTGAACTTTTTCTGCCTTCTTTGCATGATCTTGAGAGTTAAGCCAAAGTCAAGCTGACATTTTGGCCTGGCCTCCCTAAGGAGCTCAGTTCTGAGATCTTTATTCCTGGAGGCAAGGTTTATGAGCGTGTGTGTGTGTGTGTGTGTGTGTGTGTGTGTGTGTTCAAAGGAGGCTTCAGGGAAGAAAGAAGAATATGCACGAATGCTATGATAATAACTGTAGCGATCATAAGTGATGATGACACATCTGCTGAGCACTAACTCCACAGCAAGTGTGCTGAGTGATTTTTCATGCTTTCTGTCATATGGCCATGCAGTAATCCTGGGAGGTGGCTGTGGCTGCAGTACACCCATTTTAAAGAGGGATATTTGCTATGGGGTTGAATGTTTATGTTCCCCGAAATCCATACACTGGAACCTGATCACCAATGTGATGATGTTAGGTGGTGAGGTGTTGGGATATGACTGGGCTGTAAGGCTGGAGCCTGCCTGGGTCCTCAGTTCCCATGAAAAGAGCCCCAGAGAGCTGTCTTCCCATGGGTGGCCGCTGGGAGAAAAAGCCATTATGAACTAAGAAGCAGGCCCTCAGCAGCCACTCGGTCTGCCAACCTAGGACTCTTGAGAAATATGTGTTGCTGCTTATAAGTCTCCCAGTGTGCAGTGCTGTGTTCTATGAGTCCCATAAACATAGATGCATTATCCCTATTTCCAAATGAGAGCACTTAGGTTCAGAGACTTACATTCATAGCTTAAGTCACCCAGCTGGTAACTGGGTCAGTGTCAGGGCTGTCTTACGGGCTTTAGTTCTTGCTCATCGGTGACCCTGAGTAAGTCACTTCCACTCCCCGAGGCTCAGTTCTCTCGTATCTGTTATGAAACAACAGGAACAGAGAGTTCTACTTACTTCATAAGACAGGATGGATACACAGGGCAAGGGATGTGCTATGTGAGCATTAGTAACAATTCTTAAGAAATTGGAATGAGATCAGCACTAGACCAGAATAATAGAAGTTATGGGGATTTTTAATATGCAAAAAATAAAAAGTATTTATGCTTCCTTGTTTTGAGCTGAGGCTTTTGGTTTGAGAGATTAGCATCATTTATAATCCAGGCTCTGGATACACTATGGAACTTCATGCTTTCCCAAAAGCTGGTTTTACTTGAGCTAATCCCTCCCTCGGGAGTTGGGTAGGACAAATATATTACCCCTATGTTGGGGCCAGAGAAACTGATGGAACAAGTGGCTATTAGGGGGTGGTGAGAAAAGGCTCCCCTGATGGGTCACTCTGGTCTTGCATCCTTTGCTCTTTCTACCGGGGACAGTGAGGCAGGGGGCAGTTCATACATCAGCTGGAGTCAAGATTTTGATGGTAGGTGTGAGGTGGAAGCTACTAAGTTCCCCAATTTATCAGAATTGTATATGCTCCCACTAACCACAAGTTTTATAAAGTTCTCTAAAATGAGAGCTGTGCTTAGCTACTTGTCATAACGACACTTTGTTGTCATTTAAATAAGCAAATGAGAGCCCGGGGCATGGTAATCCCAGCACTCAAGAGGCTGAGGCAGGAGGATCACTGTGAGTTCAAGACCAGCCTGGGCTACACAGTGAGTTCTAAGGCAGTCTCAACTACATAGTGAGATCCTGTCTCAAAAAACCAAAAAAATTTAAAAAATAAAAATAAATAAGCAAATGAGAGCCCGGGGCATGGTAATCCCAGCACTCAAGAGGCTGAGGCAGGAGGATCACTGTGAGTTCAAGACCAGCCTGGGCTACACAGTGAGTTCTAAGGCAGTCTCAACTACATAGTGAGATCCTGTCTCAAAAAACCAAAAAAATTTAAAAAATAAAAATAAATAAGCAAATGAGCATTTTTAAACATTAAAACTGTGTCATTTTTCTCTTTGCATTTGAAATCACTGCAATTTGTGAGGTGTCAAGCGCTTTTGTAGACCACGGGCAGCCCGAGGCACTGCGCCTATTGTTCCCGAGGAGAATAAGAGAAGGCTTTACATTTTTTTAAAGAAAAATAAAATTTCATACCCAAATAATAAGAGAATAGCAATAGTTATTACACTGTGTATCAGTTATCTTCAAGTGGTTACTCAGCATACAAGACAAAAACCAAACTGATTTCTACAAAAAAGAAAGGAAAAGATAATCGTTTTGAGATTGAGTTTTGTGCAGAAAGATTTGACTTCATATTGCATCTTTGCTACTTAGTAGCTGCATGTCCTGGGTAAACTGTCTAAACTGTGTTTCATCTATAAACTGGAGCTGGTAATAAAAATATGTGGTTCTTTTCCATGTTGGCGTAAGTTTTAATATAATGTATATAAAAGTTCCTAGTCCAAAATCTAGAAAGTACTGTAGTGTTTAATAGTTGTAACCATTTTTACTATGTTTAGCCCCTGCCTAATCCAGTGGGCTTGTGGAAGTAGCTTCCCTGTTAGGCAGGCACTCTACAGTGAGCTTCGTCCCCAGGCTGCGGCCCCTCCTTATGTGGTGATGGTTCAAGGGATTGAACTCAGGACTTCACAATGAGCTACTTCCTCAGCCCTTTTTAAAATTATTTTTTAAAAATATTTTTTTCAGACAGGGTCTCCTTTAACTGCTAAATTGCCCAGGCTGGCTTAGTCTTCCAAAGAATTACAGACATACATCACCCCACCTGGCTCCTTTTTCTTTCTTTCTTTCTTTTTTTCTTTTTTTTTTTTTGTTTGTTTGTTTGTTTAGTATATATGCTGCCAAAGCCAGCAGTCTTTTTTTTTTTTTTTTTAAGGTCTTGCTACACGCACTCAAATTTATGATCCTCCTGTCTCAGCCTTCCTAAGTGCTGGGATTATAAGCATGAGCCATCACATCCACCACCACCCCCAGCTCTTTTTTATTTTTTCAACAGGCATTGCTAAGTTGTCCAGGTTGGCCTAGAGCTTGCAATCTTCCTGCCTTAGCTCCCATCCTCACCATCAGTAGCTTTGCTTATAGGCATGCAGCACAGGCCTGGCTAGGCTCTGTGAGAAGGGACAAAGTGCTGTAGAAGTCCTCAGAATCCACAGCTCCTTGGAACAGCTGTGAAGAGGGTTTCCATAGGGGCGAGGCTGGTGGATAATACAAACGTTAAACTCCAGGTCCCCAGACCCCTCCTTCAACCCCTTGGTCCATAAGAGGCCTGGTGAGACCAACACCTGCAAGAGTCCCAGTTCAGGTGACACATCAAGCTTCAAAGAGAGAAGCTGAGCTGTTGAGAGGAGGCAGTAGAGGACAGCAGAAAAGGACCCTGTGGCCTCTGCAAGAGGTGATGAGAACACTTCCCAGCACACCCCCAGGAGGACTGAAGGCTCAGGGCAACTTCTGGCTCGCAGGCCTGTCTCCCTGCACTGGGGCTGAAGTTGAAGCAGCACAAAGAGCCGAGCCAGGCCCCGGAAAGGAGAAGTGGGGTCACTCCCAGTTACACTCCAGAATCACTCCAGACACTTGCCAAAAATGCAAGTGCTCAAGTCCCTCCCGAACCCCACCTACTTTCTCTGTGGTTGGGCTGGTGGGGTAGGTTCAGGAACCTGCATTTGTAATAAAATGTCCTAAAACATTTTCAGGCTAACAATGGGGAGAACTTTGGAGCTAAGCAGACACAGATGTAGAAAAAGTTATTTATGGGTTGGTTTTAAACATCATACAAGTTAGATTCAAGACAGGATTGGCTGCTGAGTATAGAGGCTGAGGCAGGAGGACTGTTAAGAGTTTGAGGCCAGCCTGGGCTTCATAGTGAGTTCAAGGCCAGTCTGAACTACATAGCAAGACCTTGTCTCGAAAACAAAAACAAAAAAGGCTGGGGATTTCGCTCAGTGACACTGTGCCTGCTTCACAAGCATAAGGTCTTGAGTTCAATCCCCGGTACCAAAAAAAAAAAAAAAAAACAAAGACAAGATTGATAACATTCCAGTTTCACAGTACTACAAACAAGGAACTCATTTTACCATGCCTTATGTTTTGAGGGAAGAGGAATCATGGTGCTGTGTTGTCGGCAGCTCTAAGTACAAGACTGTGCAACAGCCTAGGAGGTGTCTAGGAGAAGGAACCAGGAAGGAAGGGCTGGGAATGAAGCAGAGAGGTCTTCCCATCTTTCGTGTGTGTGTGTGTGTGTGTTACTGGAACTTAAAGTCAGGGTCTTCACACTAAACAACAGATCCAATCCTTTTTTAAATTTGTTTTTTTATTTTGAACAGCATCTGGTTCAGTGGCTAAATTGCTCAGACCGGGCTCGAACTTGGAATCTTCCTACCTCAGTCTCCCTAAGTGCTGGAATTACAAATGTGTGCCACCTTGCCTGGCTCCATTTTTCACTTTTGAGATCAGGTATTTTCAGCGGTAGATGTGCCTTCCTTCCATTACCCTTAAACTTCCCATCCCTCTGCTCTCTACACTTTACTTGGAGATGAAAGAAGGTTGATCCACTGGCCCGATTGTGTTTGCTCAGTGAGGTGAATGTGGGCCTCGTCTGAGCCAAAGTAAAGGAACTTTCTGCTTTACTCTTTTCCAGTGAAAACAGCAATGAATCAAAATAAACAATGGTTGGAGTCCAAACGTTGGATCCTTCTGTGGAAAAGGCAGGTTTCTCTTGTATTTGTGGGATGCCCTTGTGTGGCTGCGCCTGCGCAGTAAGCAGGCGCCACCTGAGCACTTACATGGACTGTGACCACGGTAGAAAGCCCTTGGGCAGAGGGCCTGCTTCAGGAGACTGGAATTGTGAAATTTCGATCAAGGATTCTTTTTAAAATCTTTTAAGTGAGGTTGACTTTCTGTGCCTCACAGGCCTTGATCTTGCTAGTAGGCCGCCTTCGCCCCCTGGCGGCGTCGTCCTCAGCTCAGGGCCGGCCCGCGCCCGGCTCGCCTCAACTGGAGAAAGCGGACCATCAGTCCTGGGGAGAGGGGCGGGGCTCTACCGAGCCTACCTGCGCCCCGTCCTCCGAGCCCTACTGCCCTCTGGTGGCAGCAGGCAGAACTGAACCGGATGTGCTGAGTGCGTTCCGGGTTCTCAGCAACCGTCCAGGTTAGAATCAGCAGGGTGGTTTGAAAACCATCACTATTCAGACCGCGCCGCAGACCTTTCTTATGAATTAAATCATAGCCTCTAGTGGCGGGATCTCGGCACTGGTATCTTTTTTACTGCTCCTAGGGAATTCTAATGTTCCTGCAAGACTGAGAGCTCTTGGTCGAATCTTGATCTGGCAAGTTTCTGTGCAGAGCGTCTGAATGCCTGCGTGGGTTTTGCACACGCCTGGCAGTGCGTGTGCGCCCAGCGGTCCGGCCACCGTCTGGCCGTGCGCCTTAGCGATGTCTGAATGGGGTCAGTGGGCTGGCGTGGACCTCATTCTGCTTGGGAGGCAAAGGTCAGGTCAGTATCTCCCCTTAGGAAGATGGCTGTTGGATAGCATCCTTCATACATGTGCGTAGTTCACACTCCTTACTGTTGGGAAAGTCTTCCTAGTCTCTCTCCTCAGTACCTTCTGAAAAAAGAAAAGCCTGGATTGGGGGCAAGAGCGACAGATTAGTCATCAGCTCTGGTAGTCACAGGGACAGAAAGGATGGCCTGCGTCCCCAAGGCTGCCGGACGCCGGCAGGGTCATCTTCTCCAGTTTCAGCACTCCATCAGGCCCTGGATCAAATGGCTTGGAAGGGAGAAGAGCCAGCACCAGCACAATTAAATTAATTTCCAGCAGCTGCATGGGATTAAAATCACTCACTTCTCTTCTCCAGTCTCTGTCTAATGTTCCTGAAAACGATCTCCTGATCCTTCGCTTCTCCTCCTTTCTCTCCCTCATAGTCACAGCTTTGGGCACATTCATTCTGGATCACTTTGCCCATCCCAAGCTACCCTTCCTCCTGCTAGGCTTGGCAGGGGGGCAAAGTCCTAGTGAGACCATGCCCTCGTCTACATCTCTCTGTGTGTTGGGAACACATATACGTGTATGGCTTTGCATACTGTCATGGTGTAACCCCAGGCCCTGCTTCCTAGAGGAACTTCCTCAAGGGAGTACCCTCTTGGGAGAATCAAGGGGAAACAGATCAGTTAGCTGCTACTAGAGGGAGATAGCTGGCAGGAAGGGAAGCAGGTGCTTTTGGACAGCGGTTAAGAGCCCTGAGGAGCCAGCTGGGAAGGGAGCCCATCCCACCTTGCACTGTGACGCAGGCTCCGGGAAGGGGACCAGGCTTCCCATGGACTCTGTCCTTGCCACGCCTCGCCTACTTCTCTGTAGGGACTTTGCGTGCAACACAGGGATTAGGGGCAGGTCTCCCCATGTTCCTGTATGGCAATCGGCACAACTCAAAGCAATTATAACAGTGGGTTTTTTCATGTAAAGGTACAAGATCCCAATGATAAATTTAACTGTATTGTTTGCTTTAAATGTACCAATAAACTTAACGGGGGAAAAAAGTGGGGTTTGATCCTTTCTAGGCATTGCATGTAGTTGACACTGGAATCCATTCAGTTTGAGTTTTCTGCGGCACTTTTCCCTTCCTTGTGGGTCTGCTGAATAGAACTAGGGTCTAGAGACCTGCACTATGGACATGCTTCTGAACCCTTCCCAGCTGTATGACTGTAACTACATCACCTCCTTCCCTGGTCATCTCCAAGGTGTCATCAGCCTGACACTCGACTGACTCTCTGACTCCACTCAGGTCTCTGTCAACTTCAGCTACCACCTGGGCGTAGAGCAGGTGTGCACAGGAGGTCACTGCACTTGGAGGCCCCTGAGGGTGCAGGAAAGAAGTGATATGGGAATGCAAGCAAGTGTCACTCTGGCACTGCCCCTGTCCACATGGCTTGAATCAGTGAAGTAGTGTGCCTGGGGGAGCTGGGAGCAGTCTCCTCTCCCGGATGTGTCAAAGGCATCAGGTTAGTCAACTTTTAGTTACTGGAACAGACATCTGAGATGGTCAGCTTAATGAGAGGAGGTCGACTTTGGCTCACAGCTTGTGAGAGTTCAGTCCAGGTCAGTCAGCCTGTTGCTCTTGGGGCAGTGGTGAGGCTCCATGCTGGGAGCATGTGGCTGTGGCCAAAGAAGCTGCTTAGCTCCTGACAGCCTGGAAACAAGGACACATCCAAAAAACCTGACTTCCTCCCATTCAGCCCATTTCCTAAAGATTCCAAAGCTTCCCAGTAGTGCCTCAGGCTGGAGACCAGTCCTTAACATATGAGCCTTTAGGGGACTTTCCAGATGCAAATTACAGCTGGAATAAAAGGAAACATCCCAGCAAAGAAAAGAGATGGTCCAACAGCTCTCCCTAGCATGGAACCTGCTTTGTGCCAGCTACTGTCCCAGGTTCTGAGTGAGACCCACTTGGTCAGTCCTGTGAACAACTTTATAGAGGTAATGCTATTATTAGCCCCATTAAAAGATGAAGAAACTGAGCCTGAGCCACAGAACGTTTACCCAGCTCAGTGAATGTTAGGGAGTCTTGTGCTAGTGTTATAATTTTATCCATTACATTGTGTTGCTTTCCAAAGAGAGCATCCCTCCATACCCTTCCTACAGGGTAGTTTGAGAAGTAGCAAATCACAAAGCACTTTCTAGAACCTGCAGAAGAATCCTGCCAAGGTGACCCTCCATTTTAGAAGAAGGCTGCATCAGGGAAGAGAGGAAAGCCCCCCACAGCCCCAGGACCTGCTTGCTGGTGCACTGTCAAAGAGAATTCCTCCATTATTTGCATGTTTGCTGGTGCCCCAATCTGAATGTCTTGTGGCTTCACATCTCTGGACAAGGGACAGGGAGGTGCTTTGTCCTCTGGAAAGGGTTTTCTCAGATTTGCCCACTGAGGTACATCTCACCCACCCTGCTAATGTCTACACTCCCTCTCTCATAGTGCCCTCCACAGTGGTTTATAGCAAAATGCATCTGCTCAACCCACACAGGCATCCCTCCCCAGTCTCTGCTGAAAACACCAGCTGGAGATGGAACAGGGAGCGGAAGCGCAAGGTAGGATGAGCAGAGCAGCCAGCCAGGGTTCCATGTGGGTTCCGTGCCTGCTGGAGTTTGGCTCTTAAGTGTGCCCCAAAGGCCATGTGTTAAAAGGTTTGGTTCCAGGGTGGCATTGTTGGGAGATGGTGAAGCAGGTGGGTTAGGACAGTGGGAGTCCTCAGGTCACTGAGGGTATGTCCTCAAAAGGGATTGTGAGATGCCTGGTCTCATCCCCCTCTTCTCCTTTGCTTCCTGGCTGAGAGATGAGATGTTTTGCTCTACCAAGTGCCCCTGCTGTGATTTGCTTCCTTACCACAGGCCCAAAAGCAATGGGACTGGTCAGTCTTGGCGGAACATTTCAAAATTGAGAGCCAGAATAAACCTTTGCCTTTGCAAGTCAATTATCTCAGGTATTTTGTTGTAGGGACAGAAAGTTGACTAATCCTGCGGCTAAACTGCACCAGGCCCCAAAGTTTGATCTCACCCATTAGCAGCTTGGCCTCAGGCCTTGCGGTGATGCTGGCTGTGCTAGCCTCTCACCACAGAAGTAGAGAAGGAAGGGGGAAAGACAACGTAGGGGAAACAGCACTAAAAGAAAGTGAAGAGGAAGATGAATAAAAGTCCCAGCTGATGCAAATATTGACACAACCATTACGAGGGTAAATAAAACTCCCATTTATGTTATGCAAGTGCGATATTCTCTGAATACTTCTGTCTTGAGGAAGTTTTTATTTCACCGTAGAAGAAAAATGTTTTCATATTCTCTCCCACCGCTCAGACCCAGAACCCAGCAAGGCCCTGTGCCCTCGAGAGCCATAATATTATTTGTTAACATTTTTATGATGCCAAATGGTCTGTAGGAGAATGGGCGCCATTCTTTAGCTGGGAAACCATATGGCACGACAAGTAATAAATAAGGTATTGTGATAGTTAATGAACCTAATTGCCAGCAAAGGCTTTAATACAGAGACTGTGCTGCTGAGAATTTAGCACCGCATTAGGGATGCTGCGGAGCTCCCCTGACTTCTGAGGCTTAATTTAAGTTCTATATTGCAAACTCCAGAAAATAATTCCAAACCCTCCTGCTGGAAAAGCAACCTGCTGGTAGACTGTGATTATACCGAATTACTAAAATCGCAATCAATTTTATACACACAGTTAACCCTTGCCGGGAAGTGCTCCCGGAGAAGAAAGGGATCAGGATTATAGCCCAGTCTACTTAAGACTCTGGACTGAGAAGGACAAGGACTGTCAGGAATGGTGCGGAGCGTGGGGAGGGTCCAGAGCCAGGGCTTCTGAGAGAAGGAGACTTAGGTTAGAGGCTCACAGAGACTGGATCACAGTCACAGTCTGCTGGATTCCTCCAGACCTGCAGGGTCTCCTTCCTTTTGGGACAAGAAGACAGAGGATCTTGGAGAGAGGGTCTAGGCTCACCCTCTGCTCCCGCGTGGCAGGGATCCTTGGCAGGAAAAGAACAGAGCCTTTGCTGCTGTTATTCCATAAGTCAAGGTTATTAACTAGAGAAGATCAAATCGTGGCAGTCAATAACCTTGCACTGTGTAAAATATAATGCTGAACAGCTGCCACTGTACTTTCATGGTGTCTGGAAGGGTCCCTGGGTGAGAGGAGCTCACCGCAGCAAGGAGGACAGGAGCCAACATGAAGGCCTGTTTCCCATGTCATTGCTGGAGCTTGCAATCAGCTGCACTCCCCTCCAGCCCTGGATAAAAAGGTGGCAAAGGTCAGCAGCGGAAAGGGCCACACCAGGTGTCCTTCCTTCCCTGGAGGGTGGTTGACCCCAAGGCACCTCTGTCCACTGGGCCATGTCCCACGGCGATGCCCTGAGCTATGGTTTGGAAAGCTCAGAAATGTTTTTTCCAGAGAAAAGGGGCTGGGAAACCTCACTTTCTGTACCCTGGGCTAAACTTTCCTACTGCCAGAGAGGGTCGAATGGGC